TCAAACTTCAAGAGAATCCCGTATCCTGTCCCGATTAAGTCGGGATCCCGACATTAAAATCCCGATTAAGTCGGGATTCCGATCGGGAATCCCGCTAAATCCCAACAATGAAGTATCAAACATAAAATTATGTAATTTCTTTAGTTAAACACTAACTTTGATATTTAGCGGTTTCAAAATTATTCTTTGTTCATTGTTATACCATATTTATCATCATCTACTTATAAAGTTTATTGTAATAATTATCCTCTCAAATTCACACTAGTACATACTTTTAGAATAATTTTTATTTGTAACTTCAATTAATTAATAGAATAATTTTTGAAACTTACTTCAAACATTTTATAAAAATCACTAAAAGAAGGATGTGTAACGTATATTATTTAAAATTCAAAACTAAGTAGACTCATTGAGAAACTTTGTGACCAATGAATATAATGTATAAATACATATAATGATTATTTACTAAAGAAAGAAATCTTAGTCTCGATCATAATTTTTTAAAGAGTTCATCAAAACCGCAAAATTTGTAATATTGTTGTGATTTAGATTGTCGGGATCAAGAATAATCTCTATTTAGTTAGAATCCCAGATATTCATTTTCAGACAAATGCCGAATAGTTTTAGAAGTTTGATATTGTAAGATACTCGTAGTAAAAGATTAATCTATGTAAGGAATAAGTAATTAAAAAAGATATGCAAATATTTAGATACATATTCATTTTTTTATAAATGTATATTCATTTTTATATATTCATATATAATTATATACATGTGTGTGTGTGTGTGTGTGTATATATATATATATATATATATATAATGTCGGGATGTCAGGATTTTCCCGGTCCCGACTTAGTCGGGATCGGGATTGTCGGGATCAGGATTATCGGGATCGGGATTGTCGGGATCGGGATCGGGAGTCGGGAGTCGGGAGTTTTTTCCCAGCCCTAAATGCAGGTGAAGGTAAGGGTTTGTTTATTAACAAATATCTCTTTTTCAATTTTCTAAAAAATTGAAAAACATGAAAAAAAAACCGAAAACGTGTTTGCCAATTTGTTTTGCTGAAAACTGGAAAATAGAAAGCAAAAAAATATGTTTACCAAATCATTTCCCAAAACAAAAAAGATATATGTCTCTGTATTCCTTAGTCCGAAGTCTCGGTCCGATTCGGCTGACAGTCGGGCATTCCTCATCCGGTCTGGTCAACAATCCGGCGGTCCCTATCCATTTCGATCAATGACCCAGTAGTCTATGTCTACTCGGTCAATGATTTGACGGCCTCCATCATGTCCGGTCAACGATTTGGTCATCTGACAGTTTCTGTCCGATGCGTTTGACGACGGAGTGGTCCCGAGCCGGTTTCATCAATGACCCGGCAAGGACCGGCGGGTTTCGGTCCCACATTCCTATACTTGGGATCGGGTACCGTACTTGGGTTGTACTAAGTTTGATTCCGGACCAGGACATTACTTTGGTTTTCCGGTCGAAAAATTTGATGAACATGCTTTCAGAATCGAAATTGGGAAACTAAAGAATAAAAAGCAGAATACTGGAGATAGAAAAACTCGAAAATGAAAATAGAAAATTGGAGAACGGAAAACGGAAAAGAAGGAAAACCGGAAACTATCTCTATAATTATAGTAAACAAGCTCTAACATTTTTGGATAAATGCCTAATGAGTAAACATTTTTTATATCTCAAAGTATTGCTTAATAATCACTCCACTACCATATTTTACCAACTCATATGTTTACTTTTTAATTGCCTTGTATTACTCTCGCATTCTAGGATAAAAGTCGCTAGAGCACCCTATCCCCACCCTGTACTTCTTAATGACCTATTCCTACGTACACTACCTCATTACATAACCCACTCGTACCCCTACCTGACTCCTACCCTGGTACCTACCTAAAGGTACGGATCCAGGATTTCGAGACAAGGGGTGAAATTTTTTCGTTTGTGTAGGGAGCTGATTTTTTTTACCGCTAGTTTAGCGGGGCATTTTTTGCTAGCGTAGCGGGGGGTGGGGATTTTTTCGCTAGTGCAGGGCTATGCGGCTATTTATCTTTCAAAAAAATTCATTGATACACATACACGACGACATTTAAATCTATTACATTCTGAGTTTAGACAATGGAAATCAAAGTATTGATACATTGAAGCATAAGAAATGATATATCACAGCATGGTTTTAGACTTTTTAATTTCTTTTGAAATCCGTAGCTAAAATGCTTTTTACTCTGGCGGTCGTCTCCCTTGAATAAGGGTTCTAGTTTTTGTCGTCTTGTGTGTGGCGTTTAGATTTAGTCGTCCTTTGGTGCAACGATTAGATTAGCAGAGAAGGAATTGTTCACAGGAATATCGCTAGGCGTGCTGTGGCGGCCGGTGGAGGAGTTGTGGGAGCCAAGGGAGGGAGAAAAGGAGGCGTACTGAGGGGCTGAAATTGCGGGGCAGGCGGAGGTTGCGCGTCAGGGAATCAATCGAGCGACGGGCGGGAGGCGTGCCTTGTTCATTTCAACAATCATAGCGATGTTCCGGCCTCCTCCTGAACCACCGCCGGGGGTTCAACGAGGTGCTAGGGTTCAAGATACTTGTTTTGATTTGTTTATTTAGTTTTTTTTTTCATGTTTCGTCCTCCTCCTATTAGTTTTTATTATTTTGTCATTTGATTTCTTGTTACGGTCTATGTTGTTAGGTTTGTCAGTTTGTTTGGGAATTTAGCTTCCTTGTATGTCATTGGGTGTGTTTGGATCTATGAGAACAGGGATGACTGTGTCAAGCCCGCTGCATGGTTAGCGATTCGTGTTGCTCTTTCAGGGGTGACCGTCTCTAAAAAGAGAAATATTCCTTTCCTTGTGGATACGAACCTTACTACACTAATACTACATATAAGTGTTGTATTGAATTATTATTTTGATGCACATCACGACAAAATGCTCGTCAAATTTGGCTCCGTTGCCGGGGAAAGGCAATAAATTTTCTTTAATTTTATTTCAAAGAAAAATAAAAAAAATATAATAAACAAAATATAAAGAGTTCTTACTTTTTCTATTTCTGAGCTTACATGAGTATATGGTAAAAACCCGTTCTATAAACGAACTTACTCACCAGACAAATCCCGAAATAGAACAAGCCTTCGAGAGGTTGAGAAATTAATTTCCGCACATACCCTCAGAGGATCCGAAGAGTCATTTCACATGGCTCTCGAGACAAGGACCTTAAGGGAGCTCGCCGCTCCAAATCTAAATCAACAACCATTGTGTATTACCTTGCTCACTCTTGATGAAGGTAATACATCTGAACTAAAATCTAGGCTCATTCAAACTACGAGCTTTTCCGTTTTCTCTGAAGGACACTGCGAAAGATTGACTTTTCTATCTTCCTTCGAGAAACATCAACACATGCGCACAAATGAAGAAGTGTTTCCTTGAAAGGTACTACCCCGCTTCCATATCATCATCTCTCAAAAAGCAAATAAGCAACATTGAACAAAAGAATGATGAGTCCTTATATGAATTTTGGGAACGATTCAAGAAACTATGTACTAGCTGCCCCTATCATGGATACACTGAACAAGACCTCATCTTATACTTGTATGATGGTCTTGTTGATGATGCATGATAGAAGAATGGTGAATGCCGCTTGTGGAGGTGGCATTGCGAACAAAACTCCTTCACAAGCAACAAGCTTAATCTCAGAATTGGCCGAGAACTCATGGCAATTCAACCGCAAATCCTCAACCCGAAGAGTTCTTGATGCGGAAACAAGCACAACCGATCTAGCACTACAAAAAAAATCATTTATAGAAGCAACTCGTTGAAGCAACTTACATATTGTTGCCTCTAAAAAACTGTTTTTGCATCAAATGGATCATGATTGCCTCTAAATCCAGGAACTCTAAGTAATTTGAGGCAACCTTGTTTTACTTGCCTCTAAAATGTGCTATTTAGAGACAGATTTTTATGTTTGCCTCTAAAAAGTGTCATTTGGAGACACACTTCTATGATTGTCTCTAAAAGCTGCTATTTAGTATTTAAAGTCACATTTTTATGGTTGTCAATAAAATTTAATTGCACTATAATAAATTCTTCTAAAGCATAAGCTCATAAATGTCAACTCATTTATAAAGGAAAAATTTACGAAATAATTAACACATGTTTGAAATATGAATCTTTGTCACATAAATTCTAAATAGTTATAAATTAAAAAAATAAATTTAGGTCAATATATAAATATATTTTTCATTTATAAGAACTGTGACAAGAAACTTGACATTTTACAACAAAATATTTGCGACCAACGCAAACAAAATATTTGCGACCAACGCAAAAAATGTTCGCAATAGATATATGGAAAATGTCTACGTTTTATATGGTCGCAAATGTATTAAAGTTACTATTTGTACACATTTTTTTCTACACATAATGTTACACAAAACTATGAGCAGCTATTTTTCAATTTATGAATAGGTTGTTCATAGACAAAACATGGATTGTCTGTGAAAGATTATTCACAGACAAAAAAATGCTCATATATCTTCGCAAAAAACATGCTCATATATGTGTGTAATATAGTATCTACAAAAATATATCGAAAGAATTTTTGTTTCAATATCCTTTGTTAATACCCTAACATCATGCCGCTAAATTTTTTTGTTTTAGCGGATGGCCCACATTTTTTGTTTTGTTTTTGGGAGAATTTGACTTTACACCCCATATTTTGGTTCATATTGCACTTTGCATTCCATTTTCAAAATCATTAATATTGGCCCACATTTTTTGTTTTGTTTTTGGGAGAATTTGACTTTACACCCCATATTTTGGTTCATATTGCACTTTGCATTCCATTTTCAAAATCATTAATATTTGCACCCTATTTCCATATATAATCATTTGACTTTGCACATCACTTCTTCACAATTTTTGAGCTAATGAGGTGCAAACATTAATGATTTTAAATATTGGGTGCAAAGTCATTTTGTTTTGCTCCAAAGAAAACCATTCATACGTGATACGTACACACCGTCATCGCTACTCAACACTCGAGAAGAAAGTAGCGTCAAAGGAACTTCATCGGCGAACGAAATGGAAGAATCTACCTGCGACGATTACCTGTCGGCTCTGCATTCGAACGAATGAACTGCTCGCAGGTTCAATTGACGATTTCTGGGCCCCTCTACAAAGTCACTTGGCAGCTCCTCAAAAAAATAGCCGCATCAAGTAGTCCAGGTAAACAAAACTTCTTACTCCCTCCGTAACTTAAAAATCTTCCCACTTTCCTTTTTCGTCCGTAACAAAAAAATCTTCTCATTTTTAAAGGTTGGTTTGCAACAACTTTAAAAAAAGCACTTCTCAGCTTTTGGCTTAAAAAAGCACTTATTTACCAAACACTACCAATTTTTTATTTTTCTTGGCTTTCGTGTCAAAAGTGCTTTTCCCCTTTTTATACACCAAAAGCACTTATTTTACCAAACACAACCAACTTTTACTTTTCAAAATCACTTTTTTCTCAAACACTATCAACTTTTACAACTAATCACTTTTTCATTTCATCTCCAAAAGTGCTTTTTTTAAGCAGAAGCTGTTGCAAACACTCCCTAAATCTTCCCATCATACCCTCAATAATTTCTAAAATAATACACTATTACAACTACTTTTTTTGGATTTATCCTACATTCCACCACATTATTCCACAATTTTCCCATCATACCCTCAATAATTCATATCATCTTTCACTATTCTTAATCTACCTACTTTTGAAATGGGAAGATTTCAAAGTTACGGAGGGAGTATTATTTAATTAGCAATAGAAATCTGCTGCAGTCAGTTCTAATTATTAAATTTTCGAAGCTTCTTTATTCTAATTTCAGTCCGTTTTGTTCTTCATATGTGAAATTTGATTGTTTTTTTTCCTAATTTTGATGTCTTATGATAGTCCTAAAACCAACAGCTTTAATGTTTTAATGATGGGACTTGGAAGTTTATGTTGCTGCATTAGATTTTGAGTTCTAGTTTTATGCAATTGCTTGATTTGCAATTTTGACTGAAAGAACGATTACTTGCAATTTTAGCTTCGTTGATGGCTTAAACATGATGTATCCAATTGTAATGGTAGCAGTTTAGTTCAGTAGGGAATAAAATTCAGTTATTCACCATAATCAAGGTTAATTTTTTCCTTTATTTCACACAAAAAAAGCAAACACATTGGAGGCACTAGGGGACTCAGGAACAATGGAATGTAGGGACTGCTCTGAATTGAAAATGCCCACATCTGCCCAAGTGAAAGTGTTGCACAATGGTATAAAAAGACATACTTCGTATATAGTGAAGGTCTTCTTTCCCAACATGTATACTTTAATATTTTGTTATAATCCTTTGGTATTTTTGATGTATCTCTATTATTTTTTGTATTACCTATTATTACACGTTATCACGATTGATACTTTTGCAGGTGAGAATGAATTTAAATAGGCTTGGAATTGCAAAGCCTACAAAGCCTATATATTCATTAAACCTGGAAGACTAGGTAGAGGACTTGGAGAAGGACCAAGTTCAATGCTCTCTAATAAATCTATGATAACTTCAACGTTTGCTACTGTTCGTGAAAGGGCAGTATAGAGTGTGGTATAGTTCTTTGCCCTACCACTAATTCTGAAATAGATTACTTTTAATTATTATGTCAAAGTATCACTAGCTGATTTATGTTGTGATGTTTGAGTATGTTTTGGCAGCTAACTTAGTACACTACATTGACAGTTTTTGAGGGTGCAGGGGAATGACTTTATTTATTGTTTGAGGAGGCGTTGGTGTACATAGAACCATCTCATGATGAGGCTTATTTAATTCTTTTTAGGATCTAAAGAATTCAATGCTTAGGACCTCTATAGTGAATTCAATGAAGTATAAAACGAAAGAAAATAACATTATAGTACTCTCTCTGAGTTGATTACACTAGTTATAAAGTAAAAAAATCAATACATTAATAAGTAAAGATATCACAAAATGGCACTATATAAAATAGGTCTAAATACATCGCAAGTTGTTCTAGAGCTTCTGAAAATTTTCTTAGCCAGGTGTTTAAGGTAACAAAGTCTCTACTCCCAGGGATAACTAGAGTTAAGGTCTGTGTACACCTCACGCTAAGAAAACCCTACTTCCGGGTGAGACTTGGTGTATTTTCTTGGATTGTTCTGGCTTTGATCTAAAATATTATTATGTAATGGCAGGGGAGGACCTAGTCAAGAGCTACACTTAATGGCTTCCTGTGTGGCTATAGATGCTGAATTACATGACATTGACACTTGAAAATTTGGTCAGTAAGAACAAAGATCTTTCTTATTTACTAAAAAGCTGGAATATTTTCTTAGACATTTGTATATGAGATCTTGGCATATCAATTGAACTTGGATGCTCAAGATATTGGCATATAGATGCTGATTATTTTTCCCTCTTTACTGTTAGAATATGCATTAGCAACTTGGGGCTCACATAATCTATCTTTTACATGATGCTCAAGATCTTGGCATATCAATTCAACTTCTTTCTTAACTTGACTTGTGTGGCTATAGATGCTGATTAGTTTTTCCTCTTTGCTGTTAGAATATGTATGCATTAGCAACATGAGCTCGCATAATCTGCCTATTTACAGGATGCTCAAGATCTTGGCATATCAATTGAACTTCTTCCCTTAACTAGACTAGAGGAAGAGTTTAATGTTTCCATTTTCTATGTTGTATGTACCCCTTTTTAAAAATTTCAGGATGTAAATCTTTTTATTTATCTAACTCAACATCTTCTGCATATAGGACTTGCTTGGTTTGGAGGATGATAAAATTGCTCAGTTTAAGGCATTACTAAGGGAAAGGTATGCATTTCATTAATCTTCCAAATTTCATGACAGCCTCTGCATTGCTCCCTCACCCTGCCCTAGTCATTTGGATTATTGAAGGAAACACATGTTTTATATCAGAACTCTCTCTTTTCGCCATTTTCACTAGCTGGAGAATAATTCACCATTAGGGGTGGGGTTTCTACTGTTTTGCTGAAATTGTTTGGAACATTTTTACCTAGAATGTAATTGTATGTATGCCTACATTCTGTCATGAATCTAGGCTTGTCCTTGATCTGTTTTTCTGTAGTTGCTGGTTTTGAGCTATTATAGACAATCCTCAATTATACATACTTGAATTAAGATATAAGTTGTAGAATGTAGATTAACAAGTTTGAATTATGGGCTCTCTAAAATATATCATTAATTTTTTCATTATTTATTTGTTAATACCTTCGAAGTTAAAAATACTTATATATAATTCACAATATGCTAAGTTGACAAGGAGCATAACACAAAGCACGATAATGACGATGATGTGGAATTGTGGATGATGAGGAAGAAGAAGAAGAATGAACGCTCTAAATTAATCCGTTTTTGTAAAAGAAGAAGAAGAATGACCGCTCTAAATTAATCTGTTTTTGTAAAGCAGTTTAATTTATCTCAGTACTTCATAATGTATTAGTAACTCCAGTGAGTTTGGTTTTAGAATTTATTCATGGAGATGTCATTGATCAGATTGAACAAATTATTTATGAAATTTGTACATTTGGCTAATCAATGAAATTTTATTTTAGTATTCTGTGTTCTATCTTAAAGGAAGCATTACATTTTCGAGGTTTTATATTAAATTTTACTGTATTTTGACATTTTAGAAAATATATGAAATCTGGCTCCTATTATTTTATATTAAATATTTTCTATTAGAAAATATATGATGTATTTGTCAATAAATGCTTATTGTTTAGATTTGCGTCAATAACTCAATATACGGTTGCCTCTAAAAGGTATTCAAGACAACAACTAAAATTGCATCAAAAAGTTTTAAAAGCAATACATAATAGTGCCTCTAATAACATCTTGAGTCATTGTATATGGTTGTTTCTAAAAACATTTTGAAATAACATAAAACAAATGCCTCTGATGACATTTTGAGGCAAATGTGTATGGTTGCTTCTAAATGTGTCTTTTTAGAGGCATATCTTCTATTGCCTCTAAAGACAGCTTTTAGAGTCAACCATCATTTTGCGACGGAGTTTTTTATGGCAACCACTAAATTGCCCCCAAAAGGCATTAAAGGCAAATTTGTGATGCCTCTATAAATCAATTTTATTGTAGTGTAGAAAGTCAAGTTGTCAGTTTGACTTCTTTGGTGAAAGAACTCCTTCTATCTAAAGCCAAAAACTCAGGAGGTCAAAGCTTGTGGCGTTTGCACATCAACCGGACACCCCACTGATTCGTGTCCATCACTCCAAGAAGAGCAAGTCATCGCCCTTGGTTTCCAAGGACATCAACAAATGAGGTACGATGTAGGGGTGGGCGCGGTCCGGAACGGTCCGGGAAATTGGGCAACCCCGCAATGTATCCATGAAGTTTTATACGGTCCGGTACGGTTCGGTTCTAGGATTGGAACCATTCGATATCATGTTGTTTCGGAACGGTACAAACCAGTACGGTACAATGCTAAAGTAATGCTAAAAATATTATAAAAAACTAGCAATTAGTATATTATTCGAAATAATTACTTAAATATGATCAAGATGATTTACAAAAATATGACTAGTTACTAGAGTAGTAATGAAAACATAGTAATTCATGTTCAAGTTTTGAACTTAATTTACCACAACACTACGTTGTAGTAATGAATAGTCATATTTATGTAAATAAGTTTTATTTTTATTATATTCTTGTAAAAAAACTTAAAACAGTCCAACAAAACCTCATTGCTAACTGATCTCCCAGCTTACAGAGAGGATTACAATTCGGTTTACAGAAGCTTAAACACTACCAACCATTTCAAATGATTAAAAAACATACGAATACTAATGACCAAGTTCCTAAGTGCCTGGGCCCTGGAGGATATCAAAACAATGGGCACTTAGCAGAACTTCTAAATTTGGGCTGAGCATGGTACTGGGCTTTAAGTGTGGGCCTGCAAGAAATTTATTGGGTTGACAAAAATATATAATTTTAAATGTATTAATTATAAACGGTCCGGTCCGGTATAAACCGGTCCTCAAATTCCAGAACCGTTCCCGTACCCGCTTCAAACGGTACGGTTTTAGTTCGGGATAAAATTTTATAAAACCGTTTAAAAACCCGTCAGCCGGTTTGGTATCATTATGGGCTGGTTCGGTACCGGTTCGGCTCGGATTTTATGCCCACCCCTAGTACGATGCATTCTCAAACTCTTACAACCCTGGATTGAGGGATCATCCAAACTTGAGGTATGGAAACCCCCAACAATCCAACCCATCTTCTCAACCACCTTTTAACACCCAAGGTTCAGATTTTCAACCTAATATGTCAACTGATGACATGATTCGAACTTTGACCTCAAACATGGTTACCATGCAAAAAAACATGGGATTAATCGAGGAGTATATCCAATTCATCGAGGGTAATTATTAATAATGAGACGCGTTCATTAATAAAATTTACTATCGAGTCAATATAGAACACACGCTGTATATTAACCCGATAGTAGCAATATACTTAAGATGAAAATGATTGAGATTGATAACCTCAACACAAGCGGCTTATTGGTTTAATCAATATAATTAATTCCCCTTAGATTATTAACCATGAGACACATGCATTAATAATCCAAGTTTACTACCGTGAAAGGACCAAACTATTTAGTAGTGCATAAACACCACATTTTAGAATGATTTTACATTATGTTTACTTAGCTTTTGTACAATTACGGTGTAATCTTTATCTTCTAAAATTAAAGTAGAATTAGAAGATATTAAGATATTTTGATATGTAAGCAAAAACATGATGAAAAGAAAAGGAAAAAGCTTGGGAGCATAAGGAAGGAGCATTGGAGACAAGAGGAAGCTTCATGGAGAACAAAGAAATGTGAAAAATCGGATATGATTTGACCCGAAGATCATAAGAGATCAAATAAAGCAAGTGAACATGAGAAAATCAGATTATGTCTTAGACCCAACCACCTCACTTCTCCTATAAAAACACCCCTTTCCTTCCTATTTTAGATACCAATTTAATCCCCTCTTTCATATACACTTTATTCTTGTAATTTAGGTAGTCTTTCCATCTTGGTTTTGCTACTTTGAAACTTAATGAATTGTAAGTTATGAGTTATTTTCTTTAATCTTCTTCCTTGAATATTAATTTTTTCCCTTAATACTATATCTATATTAATGTTGGGGAGTGTTACTAAGATGACAATTAGTTAACATCTCGACATTAGTTAGAGTAGTATTTATTTTCTTCCTCTATATTAATGCTGGGGAGTGTTACTAAAATGACAATTAGTTATTAACATCTTGACATTAGTTATAGTAGGATTTATATCTTTTTTAATATTCTTCCTTGAATATTAATTAATTCCTATTCATATTTCATTTTAATATTTTGAGCATTACTTAAAGGATCAACTAGTTTTGTCTCATATATTAATTATTACTAAAATCGATCGACGAATACTAATGCATGCGTCTCATGGTAGTAAACTAGCTTATTAATCGTTCAATCTTTTCACGGTAGTAAACTAGCTTATTAATCGTCTCATGGTTAATAATCTAAGGGGAATTAATTATATTGATTAAACCAATAAACCGCTTGTGTTGAGGTTAGCAATTTCAATCGTTTTCATCTTGAATTCATTGCTACTATCGAGTAAATATACGGCGCGTGTTCTATATTAATTCGGTGGTAAGTTTTATTAATGAACGCGTCTCGTTATTAATAACTACCCTCGATGAACTGGATATACTCCTCGATTGAGTATTCGAGAGAAAGATAGTTAAAGATATAACCGGAATCGACGAACATTTCATTAAGTGGATAAAAGCAAAACCAAGACTAATTACCTTTGATATTTTATTTCAGTCATTTAAGTATTTTATTTGCTTTCTCAATTATCAAAATATCCAATTCCCCCTTCCGTTTACTTTTATTTATTACACTTACACATACGCGAAAAGCTCATTTCCCAGTGGATACGAACTCTACTACGCTATACTACGGTATTAGCCCTTAGTAGTGAATTTAATTTGAGGCACACTACGACAAAGTGCTCGTCATCGATCGATTCTAGTAATAATTAATAATCGGTGAAACAAAACTAGTTGATCCTTTAAGTAATGTTCAAAATATTAATATGAAATATGAATAGGAATTAATTAATATTCAAGGAAGAAGATTAAGAAAATAAATGTTACTATAACTAATGTTGAGATGTTAACTAATTGTCATCTTAGCAACACTCCCCAACATTAATATAGAGATATATTAATTAATATTCAAGGAAGAAGATTAAAGAAAATAACTCACAACTTACAATTCATTAAGTTTCAAAGTAGCAAAACCAAGATGCAAGAGTTTAGCTCCTCATTTGGAGACTAAACATGATGAAAGTATAAAGAAAGAACTTATCTAAACTGAACTTAGAAGTATAAAGGAATTGGTGTCTATTGTGAAGGAAAGAGAGTGTATTTATAGGCATTTTGGGTTGCAGGTCGTGTACCCGATCGGGTACATATATGTTACCCGACCGGGTATCTCTAGAATTAACTAACCGATCTATACCCGATCGTTTTCAAAGTAAAATCTATATGCATACCCGATCAGGTGTATCGGTGTACCCGATCGGGTATGACAACATATCGTGGCCAAATCTTTCCCTGCACGTCCCTTTGTGTCCTGAATTGATCCGTTTGAAAATTCAATGGGTACCCGATCGGTTATAGGGTATACCCGACCGGGTATAGGTCAAAATCAGGATCTTTCTTCTTTTGTCTTGTATTCTTGCACCTTCCTTCCCCTTTTGGGTTCATCAATGATCATTTGATTGATTGTGTACCTGTTTTAGCTCAGAATAGACCTAATCTAAACAAATTACAAATATTTCACAAACATAACTATTACACCAAAAGTGTGTAATTTCCAAAGTATCAAACAACGAAACTAACTAAAAACACAAACATACAAACGGAAATTACATGTGTATCAACAATAATTTAGGATCCTGTCGCATGAGAAACCAGCATGGTTCCCTAACTTATTGTACTCTACGCCGCCAGAGCAGTAAGAACTTAGTAATGATCGATTAGCTAGGCTCAATTAAATTAAGTTCATGTAATGTAATTAAGCCTGATCTGCCAGAAATCTTGTTACCCCGGAATCAATCCTTGTCCCTTCGTCGTTAATTAAGAAGAAACCAATTTATTTTTATTCGCAACTTGCTTTTTAATTTAATTTTCCAATCAATCTCGCACGACACTTTTATTTTATTTAGTTTAATCCCTGAATTTAATAACTTTTTGATTCCCTTTTTCCGTCCTTGTTGAGATAATACTCGTACTTACACCACTATATTACTACATTTTTTAGTGCGAGAAAACAACATCATGGTCCAAACTAGGAGAAGGAACAACAGAAGTCCATCTTGTTTTTCAGGTAGAACTTAATACTACAAAAATTAAGAGACAAATGCATACAAACTTATCAACGCAAATGTAACCTTAGCTTAGATGATGTCGAGTTATTGATCCGGTGGTAACTGCTACGAAGTCGGAATAGCCGCAAAGCTGCTGCGAAGGTCGAACTAGGCTCGGTTCTCTCTCGGATTGTTGTGGCCGCAAAGCTGCTACGACGGTCGAACTAGGCTCGGTTTTCTCTCGAGTCGTTTTGTCCGCGAAGGTGCTACGATTGTGCGACACTACGACCGTAGGATAAAAATAAACGCTTTCTAGCATATTATTTCATGTACCGCCATCAAGAAAGCTTTCAAAATGTATGAGAAGACCTTGAATGCATAGATGAACTTTATGTTCCTCAATAATTGACCATGAATTGGCTAATACAAGAGGAAGTAGTGATTAAAGTTGGATAGTTTTCATTGGTGTGGGCCCCTATGAAAAATGATGATAGGATTATAAAAAAGACTATGATGAAACAACGAAAAAATGAATGACGACACTATCTAAACGAAGTGTCTAGTCTTGAGGAGCTATGAAGCACAAATACTTCACTAGGGTGCCGTAGCGACGTATCGGAAACGTTCTCGTATCCGATACTCTAGGATACCTGTACTGTACGTTCCCGGGCCGTATTTGCAACTTTTAAAAGTTTCCATTTTATTTGGTAATTATTTTAAAATTTCGGATGCTCGTATCCTGATGGATACTCGTATCAACTTTTAAAAAAATCTTCCAAAAAAAACTTTTAAAAAAACACTCAAAATATACTTAATAAAATTCTTAAAAAATGAAACGCTGAAAATAATTTTTACCTTGTTTTTATGTGGTACACAACTAATGGGCCTATTCCTATTTCACCCATCATTTTATCCCTAATTCTAATTATCCCTGAAAATTAATAGCTCCAACGGAAATATGTATTAGAACTTTTAAAATATTGTTTTCTAACTTCATTATTACTAGAACTTTGAGTACTTGCACTTTTAATATAATTTCAAAATTGTAGTTGTTTGATCTGACTTATTGACTATATATATATATTTCGAGGTGCAATAGTGTATATGAGATAAAATATGAACTTATTTCTAAGTATCTTAAAAATGTAAAATACTTCAATGCCATGAATGACTACACGTCAGAGGATAATAATTTTTTTCAAAAAAAAAAATTATGTTTAATATTTACAAATACACCCTTGTAACTTTTAATATTTATAAATAATACACCCCCATAACTTTTGATATTTATAAATATGGCCTCGTATCCGTATCCTACTTTTTTTTTGTCATATCCCCGTACCCGTTTCCGCATTTCCGCGTACCCGTATCGGTGCTCCATAGGTGAGGAGAGGTATTAAAGTCCTACAATGGTAAAATTTGAAGTAATAAAGTATTATACTAAGATCATAAGCTACCCCTCATATCAGATTTACCTTTTAGGATGATACATTGTTAAAGTATTTGTCTAACACCAGAAAGGTATAAATAAATAAAACATCATATAAAACTTTAGGCTACTTCTCCTATCAGATTAACTTTTTATGTGGTTTGACTGCTTGTTTACAACCCATGATTAAGGGTAGCTAGTTAAGTGTATGTTTTGCTCCATCCATACTCCCCGATATTGCTCAGTCCGGTTCGAGCTTAGAAAGAGTGTTAATGTATTTCTCTCACACCGGAAAACTATAACGCAATAAAATACTATATAAGACTTTGGGTTACGCCTCCTCGTATCAGGTTATCCTTTTAAAATGGAACCCTGAGTCTTAACATCAAATCTTAATTAGTTTTATCCATGGTTCATATAGTAATATGGTCAAGGTTTTCAATTTCAGTATATGGAAATGGTGTGGTGTTTGAGAAAGACTACATAAAATGGGGGACATTCGGCTTTACATGCTTAGTAAAAGATCTGTTATTTTGTGAATTGGGTTTTGTCCGAAGAAGACTACATCTTGCTATAAACAATCATATTTTCAAATACTTTTTGTATTTCCGTTTTTTTAAGGAAACTGATTATATTATTATCAAGCAAACTTCTCAATGTATCTTCCCCTTACAATGCCAAACTCCTCAATCAAAACTCTAAGAGTACTTCCCCCTTGAAACACCAAACCTCCTCGTGAGGCTCCGCATAGCCCAAAGGCCCTCCCACTCTCTGGCTAGACTTAGAATAGACCACCCCATAAGGAGCGAGGCTATTCGCGAACCATGTGAGAGTTTCGAAGCTTTTAACGGCCAAACAAGCCTTATCGCTTCCACCAACTCTAGCATCCCAAACCAAGTAAGAAAAAACAAACACCAACCTACCACTAGAGTTCAAAATAATGATAAAAACAATGTGAGCAAAATAAAAGGAAAAACAGCAAACATAAAAAAGGTCTTCATGGCTCTCTGCTAGGGCTGAGCACGGGTCGGGTTCAGGCGGGGCGGGTCTGCGTACCCTAAACCCGTTCGGTTTTTTTTAAGTTAAATACTAGGCCCGACCCTTTGACATTTCAAATCGGGTTTTTCGGATATTTGTAAGTCGGATATCGG